CTGGAAAATGTTTTTCTTATTCTGTATCAGATAGCTTTAAGATGATCTTTATAATCTTTTTTTTTAAATGTAATTCTAGCACATTTAAGATGAACAACAATAATAAACAACATCAAGTTAATGTAAAAAAATTAAAATTAATTAAATAATGTAACAATTTTTTCCAACTGATGCCTGTTTAAATCTGCCACTTTGAACCAGTGAGAAAAGCTCAGACAAAACACAAACACAGAATTCCCTCATGTGAAATAGTTATTAGTTAGTTTTACAACTTTGGCAAAAAAAATCATGTGTTCATGTAGAACCAGATTGCGAATAATAAGAGGCTGATATTCAGTGCATGTAAACATCTCCAGTGCAGCTACAGTACAGTTTGATAACAGAGCGTTTCTCAGCTATCTCAATCATCAACCGTAAAGGTCAGGTTTGGGTGTCAGTCCCTTAGAAATGAAGAACAAAGGCTTCTGTCTACACTCACTATTTACACTGATGTTCAACAATCATACAGGCTGTAATCCATTGTAGGAATGTAGAGATATACCAGTTTCTTCACAGGGAGAAGCTTTAAGAAACCAGAATGCAAAATAAACCTAAAATATGTTATGTTTAGACTGAACGACATGACATACTTCACTTTTCCTTTATTGGAAAATCTCATTCTCTTGTACATTTATGTTTTACTGTGAGGCTCCTAACATCAACAGTGTGATGGAGGGAATCGCTGTAAAAAAAAAAAAAAAAAAAAAAAATGATGTAGCAAGAAGCCCTGTAGTGGCTCTAATAGCTCTTACACTTGAACTGACTAATGCACTTGTTCCAGAATTTGAGGGCATAAATGTGTTTTACAAGTAACTTCACTGGACATCTGCAGAGAATGATTGCACTCTTTTTTTTTTCTATCTGGTTTTGTCTCGAGTTCATAGTGAAGCAGAAGCCAAGCGGGAGAACCTCATTTTTGAGTTTTGGGTGGCTATGTTCATTGTGAACCAACTCCATAAATGTCTTAAACATTCACAGGAAATGAGTCGGCAACGATTTTTGACAAATTGATATAAAGCAGAAGTACCAAGCATTTGATGGTTCCATCTTCTCAAATGTGAGAATTTGCAGCTTTTTCCTTGTCTTAGTATTGTGGTAAATATCTTTGGGTTTTAGACTGTTGGGTCATTTGTTTCCTTTCCCTAGTTCCATTTTCACAAGTGTGAAGATTTGCTGCTATAATTAATTCAGTATCTTTGGGTTTGGAGTGCTGGACGGACAAAACAAGAAATTTCAGTGTTAAATCTTGGGCTTTGAGAAACTGCAGATGACACCACTAAACACAAAACTAAACTCTCCCACATAACTAACCAGGCCAGCAAAATAACTGGTTCATCCCAAACTCCCCTATTTGAACTGTGCACCCAGTCAGTAATCAGGAAAGCCACCCTGATCAAGCAGGACCCCTCTCACCACACCCACCAATCCTTCCAGTTACTGCCATATATTTACTTTGTATGGCTTTTCCAAGTTGAAAAGGCAGAATTTAAGAAGCATGAGTTGTGAAAAATACATGCAGAAATCCTTGCTATGTCTTATTATGGTTGTTTAGGTCATCAAGTGTTGATTTAGACACTGAAGGTCCCATTGGAGGTTATGGCAACTTATTTTTGGGTGTGGTATCTCAGAGGTTGGTCCACAGCGGAGTATGACAATACACTCCATTGTTATTCACAACAGTGGGAGCCTGTCCCAGGTTCCTTGGAGAAAGGATGCTGAGGGCCAAATTGGATTTCTGACTGAATGAGGAATCAGCTGCTTGGGGACTGTCTAGAGAAAGCTGAGCCACCGTCTCTTTGTGGGTCTGCTGCTGGAGTGCCATTCATATGTCGCAGATCCTCCGGACTCATTGAGATTCAGAGGAGAGTTCACTCTGGCCAGGTGGAGGGCTCCTCCAGCTGCTGAACAGCACAAATCTGCTCAGGGGTCACACTATAAACATTTAATCCTTTCCCTGCTGCTTTGAGTGACAGGAGCACACCATAAAGAGTTAATTTTCTCAGCTGTCTCTTGGCCTTGCTACACCTGCGGACTTTATCCACTATTTCTATGAAGAACTTTTCACATGTGCAAATGGTGCTGTAGAATTAAGGAGGAATACTTTAATGTCTGGGGATTTGATAGACTGACAAGTGAACAAGCCTTTCTTACAGGGTAAATGAAATTAACTTAATAGGCATTGTAAAACACTGAACCAAACATAAATGCAGAAAAACTGAGAATGAAATGGTTCAAACGGTTTCTTTTCTGAAAACAGCTACAGGTTGATTACTAGTTTTGGGAAGCAGATTTGAATTAAAATCTTATATAAACTGAGGACAAATCAAAGTTAGTATTGTAAATGATGGAATCAGCATGTCCTACTTTTTAATTGCCACAAAGACAAAAATTGTCTGTCATATATTATTTGTGGAAGATCATTTTTATATTTGTTTGCGGAAAAATTTAGCACCTCGTGAATTCAGGTGGGAAAAGCAGAGTTTAGAGTCTAAAGCATTTTTAGTCCTGAATGTCTACAGTCACAATTTTTTCAGCAATTGTTTTGCAGTGCAAACACAGGCAAGAAAAAAAGAATGAGGACCAGCCAGGACCCACTGAGCTTTTTTTCAGCCTGGTGAAAAGAATGAATAATTCAACAGTAAGCAAGCTTTCAGCTGGCCATTTGTGTGCTTTGATCTACGAATCAGGAGTTTGCATGAATGCCTGTATTGTCATGTTATGTTTCCACAGTGTGTGAATTATTGAAAATAGTGCAGGCCCCTGCCTCATCTGGTAAAGTTTACACTGCAGGCCCACTGGGTAGACTAGTTGGGATTGTAAATCCCCAGATGTTGTTTGTTTGTCCTGTGAGGTTGAATGACTGGGTTCACTCAGTCTGGCCTCGCCTAAATGTTCAGTGTGAAAAGAGCTCCGGGGGCAACCTTCAACAAACTCCAACTTGACGTCAAACCCCACCCCTCCCTTCTCCACTCCGCTCAGTTGAACAACAAAATGTGTAGGCGTGGCACGCAGCCAGGTGCTACAGGTATCAAAGCTCTCACGATGCTGACAAGTGTATTCACTATATTTTTATTTAAACTCACAGAGCTTTGATAAAAACTGTATTACTCACATTTTGTGTGATTAGACTCAGCACAAACAACAACAAAAAATGCAACAACACTGATAATCAGTTAATCTTTGGGTTTAGAGGTTTTTTTTGTCTTCTGTGATATTAAATTGAATTTTTGGGATTCAGACTCTTGAGTGGACAAAAAATGACATTTGAAGTCATCATGAACACTGGAATGTTGTCATTGTTTAGTCATTGATGACATGTTATGGACCAAACAATTAATTAATCGGTAGATTAATCATTACTTGCTCTACTAGGTGGAAATACTGGGTTTTGAGGATTGCAATTGAAGCTGCTATACCCAGCACACTTGAGCGGTACATGAGAGCGCTGGTACCTCAACAGATGAGGCGTCACACTAGCTACTTTGTTTCCATTATACAGACAACAGAATGATAGAAAAGCATCTAGCACTGTTCTCTTGTCTCTGGATGAATCCAAAGTGTCTGCTATGTTCTTCCCTTTTATGCCCCTGAGCTTTACTTTTGTGCTCCATCACATTCTGTGATCCCTGATGTGTGACCATTGACAGAAAATGCCTTTCCTTCTGATTACCTGAGATACAGCTTATTAGCACATGTGCGATACGTTGCGGTTCCATTGTGTCATAATAAAAGTAAGACCTTTAATTGATAATGAATGAATGATGTAGAAAAATATTTCATTATATTGAGGGTTTGGTGCATTTAATTGAGGAGCAGAGCAGACCCATGGCACTGGTTGGCTACAGCTGGACACATAATTAGAGTGCCTCCTTACCTATAATTTGTGTAATAGTTTTGGTTGGCGGCATGTTATTACCATATGAAAGGGCTAAGCAGGGGTCATGTGCATTGCTACAGCAATAAGGGCAGAGCTGAGGGCAGAAGAATGTTTGGAGCCGTTGTTAATTGGAGATCTCTACAAAGCTATGCTTTAATTATAATTTAGTCAGAGCTGCACTGTTTTAAACCCAATATATTCAGTTGCCATTATTTTCTGTAATAGTATGAACAGCTAGGTCTGTTTCCTTTCAAAGCGTCAGGCTTTGAAGAGAATGAGATTGAATTAGATTAATTTGAAAGGCTGTGCTGCTGCTGCCAGTTTTTTTCATGCTAATGTCACATGGTGTTTTCACAGGGAAATTGGATCTGGTTTGTTTAGGAGATGTACATACCTTCTGTTTTGCAAGGTTGCAGCTTATAGTTTATAGCTTTGTGTATGAATCCATGACTACTTCCTACAAATATTGTGAATAAAGCTACACATTAGCCAGGTAGCTTTAAATTTTTGTTATTCACAATTTGCTTGCTCAGAAGTTCAAACGTATTTATTGACTTGTGGTTTAAAAAAAATCATCAAACAATTTCTGACTTAATTATATTCAATTTTATTTGTGCAGCGGCAAATCATAATATACATTATTACTTAACTGTAGCACATAATCTTTTTCTGGAGCTTAACAGCAGTAATTAGCAGTAGACAGTAAACTATTACCTGCCTACAATTTATCAGTCAATCAAATTTTACATGGTGAAAAATTGATAAGCTATTAAAGATATAAAAATATTCAATCCACCCCACTAAGAAAGGAAACTAAAACCAGAAGCAATCACACTACAACACACTTAGACCTTACTAAATGTTCAGACCGAAGAATCATACACACATCATTTTTTTACACACTCAGAAACTGGTGCTCACGCACCTGTAGAAATGATCCCATGATGTGGTTTCTCTGTATATTTTCTAAATTTTCACTTCTCCCATGGTATTCTGGGTTTATCTTTAAATGTTTTTGTTGGAGATATTTGGTCCTTTTTTGTTATTTTAAAACACCTTTCGCTCTGTTTTCTTGTTCACACAGGTCGAAATGAGCTGATAGCTAGATACATCAAGCTTCGGACCGGGAAGACGAGGACTCGTAAGCAGGTAAGACAGAGATGTCTCTGTTGCATGAGTGTCAGAGGGCTGTCAAATCTGAATGTGCGCAGACTGTTGCCTTTGTTTCTGCAGGAGAGAAACAAAGCTCACAGAGAATAACACAATTCTGTTGAAGAGACTTCTGAGGCTGACAAGTCCCGTCACTGTTGTGTTGCATGAACAGATGTCCCTGGATTATGACATTTCCAAAATTGTCCATTTAACTCTTACTTGTAAGAACATAAGAACTGTAGCTGTACTAGGTTTGTACAGAAATTGATTCTTCAATCTCCCCTTTTAAAAGCTTTTATATACAGCATGTCAACCTTTCATTTAAAATGCAGCCTTTCATTTTCTACATACAACAGATCTAAGACCATTGTTGTCATCAAAAAAGTAGAAGAGAAACCACTGTGGCTTAGCAGTGCAAGTATTCCTCCTTATGACTACATCACGGAGGCTTGTGCACTCGGCCGGAGTAGAGGCCTTTATTAATAGGAAGGTCGAAGCCTTAATAGATTGGTACCATCTCTGATCAAAGACTGTTTGCTGTAGTCAGTGTTGGAGAGTGCATCCTGCCTTCTGCAACACGCTGTGTGCACTGCAGACACACTACTCCTACCACAGAGTTGAGCTCAGATTTCTGACTCAAACTGTGATGAATTTATTAACCTGCACTGTAATATGTCAGGTAAATGTCATATAAATAATATGTAAATAAAATTGAAGTCAGGGCTCTTGGTCTTTCTCTTAAATATATATAATCATAGGAGTTATACTTGATGTTGATTCTTGTATTCAAATGACCTGTTAATGAGCAGCTCTGATGGTGCTTCAGTCACAGTATGAAACCCACTGACTGATCCTCCCTCTAAACAGGAAATTCCCTGTATGACTACTGACTTGAATGACAATGATAAACAAGCCAGTGTCTACAGTGACATTCGATCACTGTGTGTGAATTGATCAGTCTGGGCCAGAAAGGCTGTGTGGTTTCTCTCTCAGTGATTCTTCTCCTCAACACAGAACCAGAATGAGAGAGATAGTTGTTTACCTAGAGCTACACCAAGAAACACACATCTGTTTCTCCTGTTAGTTTAAATGCATGATGTGTGTGTAGTTGCTGTTATTTATATTAAGGCTGCAACTACCAGTTTTCATTAGAGCTGAAATGTTAAATTGATCGAGGTTAAATTCGTCTGCAGCAATTTTGATAATGGAACAATCATTTAAATAATTTTTTAAGCAAATCTGTCAAAAAAATTCACCAGTTTCATCTTCTCAAATTCTTTACTGGTTTCCTGAGTCTTCTGTGATAGAAACAATTTTTCTTATGTTGGTTGGACAAAACAAACTGTCTGTCTTGGGCTTTAGGAAATTATGTTTGACATTTTTTTTGGTATTTTCTTACATTTTCTAGTCTAACCGATCAATCAAAAACATAATTGTCTGTTTAATCTGAAATGAAAATAATCGATAGTGGCAGCTGTTATTTTAATTATCAGTTAATTTTCAGATTATTTTCTTGATTTTTTTGTCAATAAAATGCTAGAAAACAGTGACAAATGGTAAGTAAGTAATTTTCCATTGTCTTTAAATGTCGTTTTTCTTCCAACCAGCAGTCTGAAGCCCAAAGATGTTGAATTTAAACTAATATAAAACAAAGAAAATCCTCACATTGGAGGAAGCTGGAAACAACGAACTTTTGCTTGAAAAATTATGGAAATGACTGATTATAGTAGTAAGTAGTAGTAATAGTTGCTGATTAATTTCCTGTTGATTAATTATAATAATCCTGCTAGAAAAGGTGTGATTTGCGTGAATAGTGCCAGAAGAGAACTTAAATACACCCTTCAAACCTGTCATCAACACACGACTCTTTCAAATTGCTACTTGCACTGTTGAATGTGAGAATATTAAATAATTTTGAACTGTGTGAACGTGAGAGGTAAACTTGGCTGTTGAAATGCCTTGCCCAGCTCCCGTAAGAATACTAGACTAGCCAATTCTCATTCAGCACACAGCAGATCACATCTGTGTGCTCTTAATGTGTGCTAAAGGGGCCTGCATCCTCCTTAATCAGTTCACTTAAGTGACGACAACACACAGCATAACACTTTATTGGCTGTTAGCTTGTTGTGTGGTTTGCACATGCTTCTGTTATGCACCTTATCTCCATCAAGTGTTTTTTAAACAAAGAAATGTGTAATCTATCTTTTTTTTGGTTTTTCTTGTTTTTTTATTTTCCCTTTTTCTCTTTTTTTTAATGGAGGTGTCTAGTCACATACAGGTCTTAGCAAGAAAGAAAGTTCGAGAAATCCAAGCTGCCATTAAGGTACGTCTGGCTTTGCCCAGTTGTAGGGGGCTTTTCATTGCCATGGTTACAGGCTCTTCCTTTGTTTTCCTCCCCTCCCCTACCCCGCAGGTGTCTAGTCACATTCAGGTTCTTGCCAGAAGGAAATCTCGTGAGTTTCATTCCAAGCTAAAGGTATGCGCTTTTCTGCTTTTGGGCTTGTTGGTTGCTGTGCGTCTTAACTTCCTGTTTCCTGTGGTGACAGAGTGAATGCCTGGTGCTCTGATTCTCCCTAACTGCTGACTGTAGTCTGTTCAGATTTTCTAATCCCCCTGCACCTTCTCACTCCATCTCTCACCCATACTCAGACATGCTGTCACTGTCCTGTCCACTTGTTTCATCCATATTCACTTTTCTTCACGGCCTTTGCTTTGAGAGCGGCTGTTCATCATATCAATAACTTACTACAGTATAGTGAAGACATTTTACTTTTTTTTCCACTAATGAAAGAAATGGATTAATAGCAAACACTCCAAAGCAAATGTTACTGGTAGTTTCTATGATTAGTTTTTGATTGTACAAGAGCCTGACCGATATTGGATTTTTGATGCCTTTACTGATGCTGAGAGTTTAAAAATCTGACAACTATACTGAATATTGGCCAACATTTGCTAACTAACACATAATATGTAAAAGATGTCAGTAAGCATTCCTTAAATTTATGTTCAATTTTTTTTATTTGTTTTGTTTGTTTATTGTTTGTTTTTAATGAATTGTGACCAATATACAGTATGTAAATTATACGGTTGAACAAGAATTTAGCCATGCTAGCAACTCTGTAAGACTGCTCTTAAACACAGCAGTGCTTTGAGCTAATAGCTCACATCAGGATGCTAACATATTTTGAAAGGTCTGACCTGATGGTAGCGCTAAACAAAAAGCAAGGGGATCACTAAAAATCTCTAAATTCATCCTGAGGGGGGCATGAATGTGCGTCCCATATGTCACAGCAATTTATCCAATAGTTGAGACATTTCTCTGAAAACCATAAATTTCAACCTCATTGTGGCGCTAGTTGAAAAGTCAGGGGATCACTTAACTCAGTAGGATTCATCCTCTGGAGACCATGAATGTATGTACCAAATTTCATGGCAATCCATTAGAAATTTGTTGCGATATCTCTGTCTGGACCAAAGTGGTGGACAGATTGATGCGAGCATTGCTTAAAAAAACGCTCCTCTTTTTGCATTTCTGTCCTGCAGTTTCTTGTTACCTGATGTATGATGATCATAATAAGATGACAACGGCGAATTTTATCGGCTCGGTTTATTTATTGGTCAGGCTCTAATTTTTACTCTCCATATCTGTAAACATTTAGTAAAACCACAGTTAATGTGCAAATGTCGGGAAGCATGCTGGCATTGGCTGTTGGTGAGTGGCTGAGAGCTGAAGGTCAGAGGAAATTGGTCTGCTTACATCTCTCACTAAGCAGAGTTCGTTAAAAAAAAATGGGGCTTGGCAAAGGGGGCTTGTGTTGAAAAAAAATGAAAAGGCGATTACACCTCTACCTCCTTTGACAATATAACCCAACTTTTCCCCGCTGTCAAAGGCTCAGTTGTGCACATTCAGAGTGGAGAATGGCCGTGAAGCTGGCTGTTTCTGAAATGCCCTCTCTGCTTTCTTGTTCTCCCTTCTATCTGTTGATAACTCCAGGCTCTCACAATGCCATGGCTGTCAGTCGCTTTCCCTCTCCCAGTCCAGATGTCGTCATTTCATAGCTCCTGTCAATTATTTTAGCAATAGTGAAATCCGTTAAAATCACTAAAGAATGGCATATTAAAATGGGAGAACCATTGTAAAAGAAGTAATCTTGAATAATATTGACTGTAATATAAGGTATTTTATGAAGTAATGCTTGTAAATCAAATACTCCACCTATGTGCAATTTTCTTCTTTACTTGGGGAGCCTAGTATACGTTTTGACTTTCACACTTTGCTCCACTCCCGTATTCAACACGAATTAATGACCCCTCATTAATCTGTGTGTGTGTGTGTGTGTGTGTGTGTGTGTGTGTGTGTTGAGAGACAGACAGAGTCAGACAGGCAGCTAGCCACATGAATGCCTGGTCTTTCAGGGGCACAGGCGGCAGTCTGAAGAAAAACAGACAGCTTTTGTATGAATCCCTGTCTTTTCTCATTTAAAGCAAATTAGAGTTCAGTGGCAAAGAGAAGTACAAGTGTGCCCTTCATTTTAGGGGGCATCAATGGAAACCTGCTGTTTCTGGTCTTGTCTATGGCGTTTTAGTGAAATTACAGTCATTATGTTACTGTTCTGTTGTTTTGTCTCGAGTGAAGACTGCTGATCAGATTGTGAAAATTATAGAGAGCAAGACATTCGCCACAGAGACCAAGGATAATTTGTAAATACAAATTTTATAATCCTTTGTTATGAAGTATTCATTACACATCTGTGTTTGTTGTACTGTGTGAAGAAAGCTAGACACTGGTCAAATTGAAGAATTTTTATTTATTTATTTATTTTTTACTGATGATTTCAGCTGTAACATTGAAACTTTTTCATGCATAGCTCAGACTTTAAGAGTTTGAAAATGTTGAATTACTCTAATTTACAATTTTACAATAAAACCCTGTTTGTTTGCATTTAGGTTACAAGCATGGTAAGTATTCATTTTCTGTTTGTGCTTTAATTAGGGCCTGCCTCATCCTTCGGCTGCTAGTTTTGCATTTGTGCTCCTGCCATAGTGACACAATAGCTGCTGCCCAGTGTTTTCCCAGTTTATTGGTGTCTCTGTGCGTCATCACATTGCTACACACTTATATTGTAGCTTGACTCTGTTCCACCAACATCTTATGCCAGCATGCTTACCTTTAACGTCTGCCACCAGTGAGTCTGCATGGGTTTGCTAGCATGTATGGTGTGTGTGCATTTCTGAATTTTGCAGGGCCAGTATAACTTAAAATAACCTTGTTAATGCACTTTAACAAAGGACTATGTCCAAAACAACATACAATGCTGCAATTAGTGCTCTTCTGCAGACCTTTTTGGTTCTCCATGAATTACTATTCCATAAATTAAGCCATTTACAATTCATGCAGATACAATCTGATCATTTAAAGATCTCTTGTCCAAAGATTAAAGGAAAGGAACTGAGTGGAGCTGAAAGATCCTTAAACTAGCATGATTTGTGTCCTTCAGTTCAGAGAAATTCTTTGCGATGTTTCAGTGTGTTTTGACATGCAGACAAATGCAGCCTTGATAGAAGTATTGCTGAATGAGTTTTTTTAAAAGTATTTTAGCGGTGGATTAGTCAACAAGCAAACTCATTTAAGTGCATACCACTTCTAACCACTGTACAGTAGAATTCAATGGTAATTGTTTGGCACATTCCTTTAAAAAAAAAGCCTACACTTAAATAGCAATACTGATGCATCTTCTTTTAACCTGCTTGCTGTTTACTGTTGTGAGAGAGGTCAGTGGTGCTTTCAGTGTGTTGTTTAGAGTCTGGTTGTTGCTACCTCTGCAACATACCCCACCTCCCCTTTCTGTGTGAGTGCTAAGCCTTTTGTGACTGCTGTTTAAGGACCAAGCCGTGAAGGACAAAGCCCTCCAGAGCATGGCCTCCATGTCCTCGGCTCAGATCGTCTCTGCCACGGCTATTCACAACAAGCTCGGCCTGCCAGGCATCCCGCGCCCAGCCTTCCCTGGAGCAGGGGTAAGAGCCTCAACGGCACCACTTTTGATCCATCCAGTCCAGCTTCACCCAGGGCAGCCATGGGGCCAAACACACCGACACCCGGGCCAAATCACATTACACACCACAGCTTATCTTCCCCTATCAGATAAGCACATGATCAAAAGGAGTGGTAGTCAAGATAACTACATCCACTGAACATGGAGCTAAAAGCCATTTTGATCTTGTCGCTCACAGCTGCTCACAATTGGATGTTGTTTTTTCTTTGTTGTTCTTTGCTGTCTATTTATACATCTAATTCTCTAGTTATGGCAGGGTATGATATCGGCTGGTCAGCCAGGATCATCACAAGAGTAAGTATCAGACTTTGGTGTCAGAAAAGAAAACCTAAACTCTCTTAAAGCAATGAGTTTAATATGTTGTTCTGGGAAGTTGTTTTTTTCCTAATGGGATCTACCTTTCTCTGCTCCAGTATTAAGCCTTTCACCCAGCAAGCCTATCCCACCCAGCCAACAGTCACAACAGCCATTTCAAGTAAGAATTTACTAATTTACTACTCTGTCAACTTCTTTGTACAACAGCTGCACAACATAATAAATGTGCTAACTGTACAGCAGTCTGTGAAACTCACTCCCTCTCCACTTCATCTTTTCCCTACTTGGTTTGAAACATTTCAGAGCCTCCTAGCTTCTTACTGTAAAACAAATATGCTGATAGACAGAGGTCTGCTTAGAGATAGCAGTGACAATAAAGGTGGGTTTGATACTTTGAACCTACTTGCCTTTCCCCCAGAGCACCTTATCTACTGTGTAGCTCCAGGAGGGATGAAGTTAATGACTTTAAGGATAATCTAGTTTGAGACTAAAATCAAATGGTTTTCAGCAACTCATATTTTTTTCTCAGCTACATTTACTTTACTTTTTGAAAATTTCAAATTCTTTAGCAGCCAAGGTTTATTTTTTAATTGTAAGATTTTAAGCACTTCATGTTCCTCAAACATTATCTATTAGAAGAGAGAAATAACCAAAACTGCAGAAAATCCTGTGATGCAACATATTAAGTCTCTGTTCAAACTTGCAAATTTAAACTGGATGAAAAAAAAGAAAGGCAACATGCACTAAAACATGCAAAAAAATGCACAGACCACCGATTTAATCCTATACATCTTCATCAGGTTTTTGTGAAAAAAAGTTGTATGTATTTGTTATCTCTTGCCTAGAACTTGCTACAAACAATACAAGTAACAATCTGGAAGTAAGAAAATATTGATGAATCCCACAAACAAAGTTACCCACAAGGTATGAATAGATCTATACATACAAACATTTCCCCATATGTGGCATTGCTATGACCTAAAAGAAATGCTTTCATGGACAGGTACAGCTGTAATTTGCACATAAATATTTAATTCATTTTGGTTTTACAGTTTCCTGTGCAGTTTTATTTAAAGTAATGAGTACTATTGCCAATAACATCAGGACAGGAGGAAATCTGAGTCCCAACAGATGTCCTCAAAAAAACAAAACAAAAGAAAAAACAAAACCTTAAACTATATCTAATATCACATAAAGGTATTATTTGCTTTGAAACATATTCATGCTGTGAAACAACCCACAGAGAGGATGACTCTTATTCTGGTTTTTACTTCAGGTTACGAGCCCACAGCAGCTCCAGCGCCCACAGCACCAGCATGGCAGGGCCGCTCCATTGGTACATCTAAACTCCGACTGGTGGAGTTCTCCGCCTTCCTCGAGCAACAGAGGGACCCAGACTCAGTGAGTGGGGCATTATACTAAAGCATGAAATATCACTATCTCATGGTGTTAATTCCCACTTCTTATCATCCAGTCCTTTCCTCTATGAATACACTGGGACATTTTCCCAGGCACACAGTCAGCTGAGAGGAGGCCAAAACAAGCTGAGAAGAGAGAAGTCTGGCCTGTAGGGACGCACGGCAGGAAAACCTGCAGTAATAATGAACGACTGTATATTAATCAGTTCCCTAAAAGGCATGCCAGAACTATATTTAAACTGCAGACTTCAGCTCAGCAGGACAATCCACAGACTCGGTGTGGACTGCGAGTTAACAAATCAGCAGCTTGCATTTTTTTCGATTTTTTTTCCGATTCCTTTATTGTCATTGCACAGAGTACAGTACAACTGAGTGGCAATGTAGACAGTGCATTCACTCATAACAAACAGCAATTAAAACAGAAGAATTTAAAGTGCAGAATCTATAAATAAATTATAAAATGTATACATTTGAACAATAAGATATAAAAACAATACGATGCAGTAAAAAAAGCAGCTGAGTTATTGCATTTGAGGATATTGCACTTTTGCTGAGTTACAGTGGTTCTATGTTCAAGAAGTGCAATTAGGAATATATACATATAAAAAGGTGCATTGTTCTGTGTTCCAGACAGTCAGTGTAAGTGTTTGGCAGTGTTCAGTTCTCATGTGGCTCTGGGGTAGAAGCCAGGGTGTCCAAGGTGGGATGGGTCTTTCAGTATGTTGGCTGCTCTACTGAGGCAGCAGGAGCTGAATAAGTTCTCTAAAGAGGGCAGTGAACAGCTGATGATCTTCTGGGCAATATTCATGACCCTCTGAAGGGCTCTCCTGTCCGCTGCTGAGCATCTGGTATACCACGCAGAGATGCAGTACATCAGCACACTCTTGATGGAACATGGGCAACCTGCGTACCCAGGATTTTGAAAATGGGGACCCTTTCCACACAGTCTCGCTTAATGTATAATGGATCAGGTTCTCCACTATTCATCTGAAAGTCTGTTATGAGTTCAGACCACAGTGGTGTCGTCCGTGAACTTGATGATGATGGTGTTGGTGGGATGAGTGGGGGCACAGTAATGACTGTAGAGGGCATAGAGAAGGCAGGTGGCAGGTGGGTTAGGAAAGTCCTAAATCAGTAAGTTTAGTGACCAGTCTGCTCACGATGACAGTGTTAAAGTTGAAGTCTATGAGAAGCATCCTCACATAGCTCCTCTGGTGTTCAAGGCGGTTCAGTGCAGTGTGAAGAGCAGTGGCAATGGCATCCTCTGTAGACCTTTTTGCCCTGTAGGAAAACCGGTGTGGGCCGAAGGTAGGTGGGAGGCTGACTTTGATTTCCTGCAGGACCAGTCTTGAAACACTTCATGATGAAAGGTGTAAGTGCGAGCAGACGGTAGTCATCGAACCCGCTGCTTTCACCTCATAGTGAGCAAAAAAAAAAAAAAAACAAGTTCCAGCGAGGCGTTATCGTTGACAGTTGTGCAGTTGCTGGACTTGTAGTTGGTAATGTGCTGGATGCCCTGCCACACCTACCGTGGGTTGTTGTTGGTGAAGTGGCCCTCAATCTTCCTCTTGCAGGCCACGTTAGCCTCCCTGATGTCTGTCTTCAGGTTGGCTCCAGAAGCTCTGTATATACAGACCTGAAGCTGGCGTTACAGTTCTTGAGAGTTTTGACGTCCTTTTCATCCAAGGCTTCTGGTTGGGATACACCCGGATGCTGGGGTTAAGAGTACGGATAAGTGATCTGACTGGCCTTCGCATGGTAGTGTTGTTGACCTTATGTCTTAAACCGTTATTGTAAACTTTGTGAGTTTTGAGTAAACTTTCTCAAGTGGCCCCAAAAACAGCACATTTGATGTGTTTGAATTTTGGGAGAACTGCCTTTACTTCATGGTTAAAATCACAGCTAATGTTATTATTTGCTTTAGCAATTCTTTTAATGTTTCTCCACATTTTCCTGTGCCCTTTCTTTTGGTATTGATATCACATGACAACAGCCATTAATCTTACATGCAGCATTGCCCTGAAGGCTACATACTAGAGTGGCTGTTCCGTGAGCTTTTAGACTGAAGTGCAGGGCCACATGAAAGGTTTCATACGGTCACGACAAGGGCAAAAACCTCTGAAAATCAAATGTTGTTCTCAGATTTTATGCTCCTTTTTCTGCTTTTGGCCATGCATCAAAACCAAATATTCTCAGTTGAAAAGTTTAAAGGAATAGAGCAAAAATCTCTGTATTATTTCATTCCATATTGTCAATTTAGGTTGATTGTAGTTGCCTTTGATGCAGAAATATTGCTTTTCATTTGAGTGAAGACTGAATTACACTATTACCTTTTGACAAAATGATTTTTTTTTACTGTATGGGTTTAGCTCATTTAATTTTGAGATAGATGTATCTTTGTCAGACTTTCTTGGTTTCACAACTGTCTTGTTTATAATTTCACACGTTAATCTTATAGAATTTGGGTGAAGCAGTCGCGCATTTCCCGGCTTGGTTTAATACAAATAAAGGGATCAGTTTGTTTTTGGCTTTAGTGGAGCAGAAAGGCATTGCCTAATTTGTACATCATAAAATAGAAAAGAGGCCTAAAACCTTGCAGACAGCCAAATAAAAAGCAATGATGTGTAGGCTTATTTCTCATCTAATTCTGGCTACCACTTGCTTATTATGGTGGTTATTTGTCAGAATTGGTTTATTTTACTTCAACAACCCTTTCTGGATATTGATATTTGATACTGTTTTAGGTTGCTTCTATGTCTTTTTATGTGAGATTCTAATTTTAAATTCAGACAAGATGGACTGTATTTTACTTTTCTAAATCACAATAATGCAACCTGAAAAAGATTATTCTTTTTAAAGACCAGATTGAAAATATGTTTCTAATACCATTTCCTATTTACTTTTTCAGTACAACAAGCACCTATTTGTACATATCGGGCAGACAAATCATTCCTACAGTGACGCCCTGCTGGAGTCGGTGGACATTCGTCAGATTTATGATAAATTTCCAGAAAAGAAAGGAGGACTGAAGGAGCTGTACGGAAAAGGTCCCCAGAATTCCTTCTTCCTTATAAAATTCTGGGTGAGTGTTATTTGTCAGCCACACTGATTAAATTAATAAGTATCATATAAAACGGCAGTGTTGCAGCTTGATGATGTTACGCACGCACACACGCACGCACACACACACACACAGATCTTAAGATGATTGGTAACGTTTTGCACATAGTCAAATGTTTGACAGCAGAATCGTGTTCAGTAACATTCTGTTCAGGTTCGTCTTTAGTGATTAGGTGTAATCAAACTACACAGAGAAGACTGCTCTCTTAATGTTTGCAGAATGCACTGTGCTATATTTGGACTTGCATAGCAGGAGAGCTTTTGATCAAAGCACTCACTAATTCAATGTAATATCTCCAAACAATGGAGTGACCCAGTTGCACTCCTAATGGCTGTTTAAACATTGCATGTATTTCCTCCTTGATGCAAAATGCTAACTAGCGGCAGCCAACAAAGTAGGGACCGTATGCACTTGGACCAAGTCCCCTCAAATCTTTTGAAGTGACCGACCAATCTAAATTTCAAATGAAAGACAGAATCTGCACAATAATGAATGTATAACTGCTTTGCTTAATGAAGGAGGAGAATGTTGTAGGAGGATGTCTCCTCTTTTTGTATCCATAATGAACAGGATGTTCAGGGCATAGAAAGGCTGCCCTCTGGGAGCAGACCCGTTCAACCTTATAAATCAGTCTTTTAATGTAACTTCATTTAATCCTCTTTAGAATCTTGTTTCCAATATGGACACATTAACATGCTTATTCAGATGTGGGCTGAGATATTCTAATTTGATATGCCATGGACATGCATAATCTCCACAGCCCTGTGATCACAAATTCTTAATTTAACACATTTTTCAGTTACCAGATGTAAACCAAATTCTGGCTCCCTTTAAAAGTGCACATATGTGCTGTGTTCCAGTTCAATACTACTGTATGCGCTGTATGTACAGGTTTCTCCACTTGATAGATATTTTTATAATAGCAATGTATCAAATGACAAAACAATGTGTGTGTTCAGTGATGAACCTAAAGAAAAGTATCACCTGAATCTGCAGCTGTCCAGTCTGCAACTTTACTGTTTGTGTTCACTCTCGCTGCTGTTCAAGCATTGTTTTCTGCTGCAGCAGGCAGATGTTTTCAGACCAAAAGCTCTAAACTCTGCTGTTTGACAGGTTTATCTATGTATTGCTTATTCCTCTAAAGTGGACCCTAAACAAAAAATGTGCATTGACATGCAATGCTCTCTTTTTTTTTTTCTGCTCGCTAGGCTGACTTGAACTGCAACATTCAAGATGATACTGGATCTTTCTATGGAGTCACTAGTCAGTATGAGAGCTCGGAGAACATGACCATTACATGTTCAACAAAGGTCTGCTCCTTTGGCAAACAGGTGGTCGAGAAAGTTGAGGTACGGACTCAAATCTTTCCATCCTGTGATTCGGAACAATGCCTAAAAAGCTGTGAACTACAATGAGAAAATGCACCACACATTTGTATTTTACCTTTCTGTTGTATACTTCTTTTTTATCTCCTTAAACTTTTCTCTTGTTCCTCAGACTGAATATGCACGCTTTGAGAATGGACGCTTTGTCTACCGAATAAGCCGGTCTCCCATGTGTGAATACATGATCAACTTCATCCATAAGCTAAAACATCTACCAGAGAAATATATGATGAACAGTGTGCTGGAGAACTTCACTATCTTATTGGTAATCACCTCACTGACCTGAGTGGGTGAGGTCCCTCCCCAGGATCCTCATTCTTCTTCTTCTTCTTCTTCGTCTTCTCTTTGCTGTCAAGGGTGTGTTGGTGGCTCCAGCTGGCTTTATAAAAAAATGGGGGGGTGGGGGTGGTTTGGCTGAGCCTTGAGATGAGTTCCTCTCGCTGGTCTCACATTCCTCTCATTCCACAGGGGATGAAACGCCATGTGAGGAGCCTCATTATCTGCAGGGGAAAAGGGAGGATAAGAGGAGGCAGGAGAAACCCCTGTTATTAGCCCTCACATGGGGTCTTAAAATGTCATTCACCACTACTGACAAAGCAAAAAGTAAATAAAAAGACAGGCACAGATCCATATGTGGGGGTGCGCACTCAAGATGGCAAGCAGGGCCCCCATTTCCCAAAAGCATGTAAAAGCTAGGATGATTGTAAAATCCACCTCACAAAGTCTTTAAGCTTTTAGAAATGATGCAGGGAAAACAAAAAAGGTTTTATTTTGGTTCATTTTAAAGTCTATACCTTAATCCAACCACTGATGCTCTCTGTTAAATGACGTTTAAATTAATAATCAAAAATTAACTTAACAATTGACATGCGCAATCAATCTAATATTTTCCGTCATCATTGCCCTCTCCCTCTACATATGTCTTTTGCTTTCCTGATGTTATATTTTCAGGTTCTATATATTCACTTTTCTTTTTAATTTATGTTGTGTATCTTTATATTTTCCACAAGCTAATACACCCCAGGTAAAATACAGATAAGTTGATATTCATGTCAGATGAGGTGGATACTCATTAAACTCTTCATGGCTTGTTTCTGGGTTGAGTATATCTGCCTCAAGTAGCGCTTTAATCAATCCTCTTACCTTCTTAAACCTACACGAATTAAACTCTCTGACTGTGGACTGATCATGCTTTGAATGATTCCAAGTGTAAAACATTTCTTTGTGTTGTTTATAATTTTTAAGTTATCTGATTTTAAGAAGCTCTCAACAGCATCACATGCGCTCTTTATTGCTACTTTATGTGTAAGAAAAAAGAAAAAAAAAAGACTGAAAATCAATCAATATCAGGAATCAGTGAGTCAGGAATCAGGAATGGCTGATGGGTGTGTCTATATCCTTTTATGGTTACCCGCGGGAGGGGTCATGAGGCTCTGCACTCGCGCCCAGCTAGCTACACGGAGATTGAAATTTATGAAACAGACCTACACATATGCACGACTTCATAACACTGACAAGAAGAACGCATATTTCAGTCTTTTGTTTTAATTTTGAGTTTCTTACATCTGACTGCTGGTGTTTTGGTTCTATACCTATATGTTGATGGTTTTTAAAACAAGCAAAGTCCTTTTTCTCTCTCGTGTCTGTCCACACTAATTACACTGCCTCTCAACTAGAAAGTGACTCTTTTTCGTCTTTTCGTTTGCAGGTGGTGACGAATAGAGATACCCAGGAGACGCTGCTATGTATGGCGTGTGTGTTTGAGGTTTCAAACAGCGAGCACGGCGCCCAGCATCATATCTACAGACTGGTCAAGGAATGAGAGCTTCCCTTCAACCCCCTTCTTTTCATAGACTTACCAACCTCAAAACAAGTGGCAGTGCCTCTACCTGAAAGTCACACCTACAATGCTTTTTGGTCATGGTATCGGGTGAAGTCAGTTGTTTTAAATTTGTTTTGATATAAGTGTTTGTTATTTGACTGCAGCTGTGAATTGCGGTACAGTTGTTTTATGTTTAAATACGGGAATTCGCGTTTAAAAGATGTTGAGTTGGTCTCTGTTGAGTATAAATGTGGCCGTTCTTAAAGAATTTACTAGATTCATTTGGTAAATGGAAATATGTGTGTTGTCTTCTTCTGCTTTGTTACGTAGACTAAAGGAAAAAAAAACAAAAAAAAAAAAACAGATGCTGGCCTTTTCTACCAGCAACCTGATGTGGTCTTTGTAATATGTTTGAGTGTGTTTTTATATGTCTGTAGTTCATAATTTATGAGCATACATACTGTAGATATACAGACATGCACCCACAGTCAATAGATTTTCCAAAGAAACAATACTAACACAACACTACATATATAGTAGCTGAAAGCAAGTGGTTGTGAATATTGCAAAATTACAGTTATATTAAAAAAAAAAAAAATCAGCTTTCAGAAGTATATTTATCCCCGTTGAAGCACTCCAAGTCTTAGACACTAAGAGCAGAATGAATGCACTGTGAAAATACTACAAATGTTTTGCCTGCGTCTGCTCCTTAAATGTAGAGAAGTCTTACCACCTGCTAAGCATTTCTGTGCTGCAAACGAGTCTTTCCTCTGTGACAACTGATAAGAGAATTTTTAGGTTTTAGACAGGTGAAAGTACTGCTAAAAATTACACTAACCGGACTCTCATCTTGTCCAAAAGCACTTTGTTCCCCTTCCTGGACTTGCCTTAGTAATGTTTTTTTTTTGTTTTGTTTTTTTTTGTTAGAGCTGTGGTTTTAGAACAGGTTAAATATCATGACACTATAAATCACTTGTAGACAGCAGGCTTTGTTCAATATGCTGTGGCTTTGCCCCTTGAAAGACTCAGAATATCTTTTCCCCTCTGGGATCACGGTGTAATAACTCCAAGCCAGAGAGTTGCTGCCTTCATGTTCACACTATGTTCACATGTTTCTGTGGCCTACACCGATCCTGAGCCTTAAACATGTTATACCTGTGTGTGAACTCCAAAAGATGCCACTAAAACTGTGATCTCTACGTGGGAATACTCTTCATACGTTTGCATTGTGTAAGAAATTCACAATACAATCTGCCAAAGTGTAAGTGTACAGTGCCTTAGAATATATTCTAATATTACCATTTGTTTTGTTTTAAGTCTAAAAATCAGTTAAGTGGATGAGACGGGCAAAAATGTCTCACTGCTTGTACTTGGTACATTTCCACATCTGAGAAATTGTTTCTTATAATTGGTACAGTCCTAAAAATACAGTTTTTGTTGGTTTTTCAGAGGCAGCATACTAATGTTAAATTACGTTTGCAAAATTAAGGTCAAAAACGGTCATAATACAGGTTATATTTTTCTCTAACTGTAATATGTTCCTCAAATGTCAGCCTTTTTCTGAGAGTGTACTACAAACACAGACCGACTGCCTTTCCTGTTGTAAAAGACCAAAAATACAGAGATACAGTCAATCTTTTGTCATGTCCTGCATGGTAGCAAGGAAGTGCCTTTGGTTTAAATTTTTTCCAGCTTCAAAAAGATCAAACACAAACTAAAAATTAAATGTTGCTAGACCAAAAATGAGACATAAGTGAAACCAATCACCACATTGCCTTTTCAAAGGATTATAATGACAGCAGGGGAAAGCTGGTTACTGGTAAAATAAATAAATGGTATAATCATTTTTATTACATTGTAAATTGATTTCACAAATGATGTATTTGAAGAAAACCTATTTCTTTGCTTGAGGTCAAAGACTGAAAAACCTGCTGATAACATACAGCCGCTGACTGCATGCAGGATGTCAACTCCAAAAACACTGCAGCTGTCTGCTTCTTGCACACTTGCAGGTTCAAGTGTTTTGTTTTGGGTTTTTTTAAAAAAAGAAACATTGGGGTTTCCTCTTTCCCGCGACCACGTGCTCGCACGATGTGAAAACCACAGAAAACATCAGACTCTCTCAATGTTACCTTTGACGATGCAGACACAGCTGTGATGTCGACGAGGCAGGGACCAACACGAGCTTTTATCATTTATTATCTCTCACAATGAAAAGTGAAAGTTTATTTAACAGTAAGTCTACAGAACAATTTGGAACTGTTTTAATGTGGCTAAAGCTGAAATTGTTTCCAAAACCTGTTTGAGATGCTGTTTCAGAAACTAATTTTTCACAACTGCCAGTGTGGACGAGGCCGTCAAGGTTAATATACTTTTCACCGTAAGGACCATAGATGCTCAGACATTTACTGTTTCTTAAAAAAATAAAAAGTTACAATCATCTAAAGTATTTTAATAGAAGAAGCTCTAAATAATTGCAGACAATGTCTCTGGTGGACGCAGATAAAGTTCAATCATTCAGTATTTTTGCCACAGTCCTGTGGACACTGTGGGGTTTTAATAGGCTTTTTTATGTTTACCCTGTGTATCCGTTCACATTTATTGATTACTTAGTGAGATGTTCCTGTTTTCTTATTGTACTTGTATACAGTTGTACTTGGTTTTGTGATGACATTGTCTGTATATTGCAAGCCCAATAAGATGGTAATGATGTTACTGCTGCACTGCTGGTACATTTTAACATGTCGTTTCAACACTTAAAAAAAAAACAGCAGGGCTGATGCCTTCCATGGCATGAATGTCTGGTGGACCATTTGAAGAGAAAATGGACACACACACACACACACACACACACACACGCGCGCGCACACAGAAAAATCAGCTAAGTCAAGGAATCATGCTACAAACATATCAGCAGTTTAGCTCTTGTTATTTGTAATTCTGTTGAAGAGTAGGTACTGGTACCTTTTTGTTTTATGACCATTTTCAGATGGTGGCTTTAAATGATTCTTCACATAGCTCACATATAGTTGTCATACACACATTTGGGTTTTGTGTGCAGATGTTTTTTTTTGTTTGTTTGTTTTTTTTTTTGTAAAAAGGTGCTTTGTACAAAATTATCTTAGCTTTTCTTGGTACAGATGTGTGATATATTTCCATATCCATGACAGTAAAGTGTTGGAGCAAAGGAGAGAAAAGAGGCTTTGCTATGTTTCTGTGTTCTGCGTATGGTCGTGTCTTTGCTCCGTAACATTATGATGCCTTCTTGATAATAGTAGTTATTTTGTAGCTTTCTAGATACTTTGTATGTATGCAATATTGAAGTTAAATAAATCTGAAAAATACTGACTCCTTTTTGTTGTCACTTCAGTGAAGCATTTAATATAATTATTGTGCTGAAGCAATAACCATAGCAGTATTTTCAGGCACGCGATGGTCGATTCTGAGCAGTCGGGTCTGATGCACCGTGTTTAACTCTTTGACTGCAAAGCCCTCAGGTCAACAGTAGATGGAGCCTGTCACTCGCTTTATGTTTAACTGCCCATGTCCCTGCATCACACAGACATGAGGATACAGATGTAGAGCACTGTAGTAACCGAAACCATCACTAAAGGGACAACATGCCAAATTAAAAGCAAATACATCAGGCACCAGCAAATATGGCGCGTGTGTAAAGTGTAACCACATAACATTTGAGAGCAAACCTCTGGCGCTGCAATTAAAATATTTCATAGAGAACAAAAATTGTTTCGATTTTAAAGAAGGACTGACAGAATAAAGTCCTTACTGGTGATTATTTTGAACATGCAGTACAAACACAAAGTTTTAGTGATAAATCAGCATGCTGTGTTTGTCTAATGAAACTGGAAATACTGGCCCGTTGTTCTGCTTTGTTCACACACAATGATTAAAGAAAAACTTAAAACAGAAATCATCAATAAAGTCCTCAAACGAGAAAACCTTTCCCCGTTTAGAAGTGGCTCATAAAGGTGATTGTGGACCAAATTATTTCTGGTTAGAGAGGCACTCCAACTCAGTAGCTGCTGCAAATTATCCACAGGGCGGCGGCTTAGAACTGGAAGATTTAGTCCTGTTGACCATTTGGAGCCTAAAGATTTGTTATCTCCTCTGAACAGATTATACTTTCAGCCATGTTTGTCTTAGTGTGGGATTTCAATTTCAATTTACAGTCCAAAAACTGATTAGTCTTTGTAGCACATTGCGCCACCATGTGGACATTTGTAGCATATTACACTTTCACTGATGTGAGAGGTATAGAAAATTCTTATTTTGTGGTTCAAAGCCATTTTTCATGTGTACATATAAAACTCTAACTGCTCCAAATTTTGATATAATTTTAGTTTAAATTTTTTAGATATTCATCATTATACACATTGTGTTTCATTGAAATGACAAATTTATAGGATTGTGCACTTTTGGTGCTTCATAGTTTCAGGGATGGTCTGACGAGGCTCTGTAGTATAAAGTGGTTAAAGCAGAGACACTGAGGACTTCAACTACTACTGTCACCAAAACCCAGTGTTGAAGGGGGGGTTTAAAGGCAAATCACATATACGCACTACATGCATGTGCAAAAACCTCTTAAACCACAAGTGTCTTTGGATTTGCTTTACTTGCTTGTGAGTAACAAGACTCCAGCAGAGACACAGAGCAGCACTGACAACCCAACAAAATCAGATGTAAAGTATGTCTTCCAGGTGTTTCTTCAAGATACAACTTTCTTTACCAACAAAGGGTCACAAGTTCAAGACTCACCAAGGCTGAAGTCTGAGGGTGGCTCTGCCGATAGCCAATGAGAAGAAAACAAGAGAAGCTAAAGGCAAACAATTATGAGAGAGTCCTCAACAAAGACAAAAGATGACAACATCTTTTAACACAGTATCACTGAAATATCAGTCACAGCCTCATCTAACACTTGTACAACATTAAATTCATTCTCAGCTGCTCTCCTTTAATACTCTTTACCTGTTGTACAATGTTTTTTAACCCTCCAGGTGTCCTGACTGTAAACCTTTAAATCACTTGTGGATCTGAAAATATCATTTACACTATGAAGAGTCTGAGCCCTGTTACTCATATCGACAGCAAACTGAGTCTGAATATCTCCGCTGAACACAAAAGTGTAACTCAACAGAAAGAGAGGTCACCACTGCTCTGCTCAGATTGATCTTTGTTTCACTTTTGTGTCACTGCTGATGTTTCAGAAGCAACAGCTTGGTGCGGCATCAGATCCAAAAAAAAAACATCACTATTTGAGCTCCTGTAGATGTTTTAGCCAAATTGGTTTCACAGGATGAGTTCAGTCCCTGGCTGGTAATCATCTCTCACTGCACATAAAAATAACAAGTCAAGGATCAAGTACAATATTTTCTCCTAACTCAGAGGGCGAGAGACAGCAGGGGTAACCAGCTGTAACCATTTCTACTTGACACCACTACGAAAACATTTAGTTCCAAAACAACCTTCTTTTACAGATGCAAACATGGACTGCTCAAAAAGCCCTGCGGTCATAGAACAAAGTGAAAAAAGGTAAATATATAAAACCACTGCGTGTACTGGTTCAAACCTGACTGCACTACATGGTCAGTGCACTAGAGCAGAATCAGACAAAATAAAACCTATAAAGTTTTGTAAGGATTTTTATGGGAGCTGGAAGACCAAACAACAGCATACGGGTTTGTCCAGGCTTGGTGTCTTTCTGTCCCTATGCGGTCGATCAATAAATATTCTATATAATGCACAATCCAGCTTAAAAAAAACATTGCTACAAGGACTATTAAAACGTAGTTGCAGTGCCTTGTCAGCTCAGTAAAATTTTGAATGAAGAATCCAACCATAATTTTTGATCCTATTAATTATCTCATGGTGGTTTAAACACTGGTTTGAATCGGGGAAATATTCATGACATTTATCACATAAACCCTGAGGTTACATCAAGGAGCAGAGATTGCTGCCATAACACAGTACAGCTCCAGGATACTGGACAAAACTGTTGGCAAACTGGTTTTTAATCCTGTGCATTTACAACTGAAATCATCTGGGCTTCAGCCTGTGGCTCATCTCAACACAAAGCCACACATCACAATATGAAGTCCTCTTTACCGACACTTGCTAGTGGTCATGTGACCACCGCAGTGTTTCCTTGACTCAGCATCAGGAAAGTGCACAAGAGGACACATGGGGCTCCAAACCTCCAGCCCCGTCCGCAACTTCTCAGATGTGTCTGGGACGCAGCGCGCATGCACACTGAGGAAATGAGTCCGGACACCGCTGCGTTTTCTCCAGACATCCGTTTCAAGAACTGCTGTTTTCTTTCTTTATTCAGAAGAGACACAGTTTAACAGTAATCGATGATGGAGTCGGAGGAGAGTAAGATATCGGTGTGGGTCTGCAGAGAGGAGAAGCTCATCCACGGCTTGTCAAAGCGCACAACCTGCGCTGATGTTATTAAAGTGCTTCTGGAAGACCAAAACTCACAGCACGGACTTTCTGCAGCGCAGTCGTACTGCATCGTGGAGAAATGGAGAGGTTTCGAGAGGATTTTGCCGAACAAAACAAAGATTTTACGGCTTTGGGTCGCGTGGGGAGAGGAGCAGGGGAACGTGAAGTTTGTGCTGGTGAAAAGCGAGGCGTCTTTGGCGAACCACGGAGCCCGGAGCGCGGAGGCGCGTGTGGTGCTCAGCAAACAGAGCCCCTGTGTCACCAAGGGCACCGCGCGGTCTCCCATGGGGGGCATCTCACCTGAAAAACAGCGTCGGATTGTGAGGAAAGCTTTCAGAAAGTTGGAGAAGATCAACAAAAGGAAGGCGCGCGCGGCGCACAGAGACGCGTCCTCTGCGGAGAAGATGGAAACTTTGGTTCATGTTGTGGTTTCTCAGGATCACACGATCCGCCAGCAGATCCAGAGGATTAAGGAGCTGGACGCCGAGATCGAAAGGTGTGAGGCAAAGGTGCATTTTGACAGAATCAAAAGACACGGGATTAATTATGTTCAGGACACGTATTTGGTGGATGCTGCTGCAGCTTCCAGCCGAGAGGAAGACAAACTCTGTTCAACTGAGACACTTGCCAAGTTTGAAGAGTATGTCCGGCGCTGTGAGGAGGTGGTTCGACTACAAGAGGAGCTGTGGGAGCAGGACGCTCTCATAGAGATCCTCACGGTGCAGATCCAGGAGGAGCTGAACCACCGCTGGATGCAGCGGAGGACAGAGGGCGCACAATCTGTCCCCAGCACCGAGGCAGAGACAACATCAGAAAACGAGCTGTTTTTGGAAGAAGAGAGGATCAAAACGCAGCTAGATGCGAGTTTATACATCGGTCTGCGCCTCAACACGGATTTAGAAGCTATTAGGAGCGATTTAGAGCTGACCCAGGAGATTTGCAGGGCGAGGGAGAAGGAGATGAGGGATTTGCTGGAGGAAGTGAACACTTTGGACATAGAGGAAGGGACAGCCAGCGAGGAAAGATGTAGCCACGAGAAGGATGATAAGACGGGGATGATGAGCACTTTGGAGAGGAAAAGCGAGTGGGTGGAGCAGGCCAGGGGTCTGTCAAAAGCTCACAGCGTGAACGACGACGACTCAGACACTGGCTTAAGTTCTCTGCACAGTCAGGACTCAGACAGCCACCCCGTGTGGGAGTCTCTGGTTTAGAGTTTTACCAGCTTATCTGTTCTTTAACTAGAGAGAAAATAAGAACCTCTACAGTCTCAGGGATCATAATTACTCTGAAGTAAACGAAAATTCAGTGTAATAATTCCACATGGATGACAGTGAATTGAAACTGAACCCATCTTACTTCATGGTGTTTTTTTTTTTTTATATTTGTATGGCATCATTATAATCCCCATATTATTATTTTTTACATCCTTCTTAAACCAGTTTAAGAACAAATACAGTTTTTTTTTATTAAAAGCTGTTGTTTTGATATATATAAATAAAAAATACTGGTTTTGAGTTCATGTGTCTCTATTCTCTTGTGAATGTCTCATACAGGACTGCAGGCTGCAGGTTAAGAGATGAGATGATGACATCATTGTATGAAATATGCCAAAATCAGATCATTTCCACAACTTCTTCAGAGACAGCAGGGTGACACAGCCAAAACACGTTTTTGGGATTATTCTGTGGATTGTCAACCTCTCCGTTTTCACTGTGACCCAGACACTAAGCGATAAAGAAAATCTCTTCGCTGTGAATCATGAAGTCATAATAATATCTGAAGTCAAAACAGAGATCTGCGACTCACTAAGCTGAAATGACCACACGAATGATAAGAAGTGACATTTCACACACTGACATGTAGCTTTGTTTACAAAAAAAGTTGTGAGACAGCAGCACACAGTCTCCAAGTATCTGCCTGCTGCCCCTATACACACACACACACACACACACACACACACACATACATATATATATATATATATAAAAAGAGTAAAAAGAGGCTTCACCACTTCCCCTCGAATGAAAGCCCGTGGAGTGAAAACTTTTTCAAATGCAATGAATCAGGAACAACTAGTGTAAAAGACATTTATACATCAACATACTAATTCCACTTTATCAAACCACAATAACTTTACAGTAAGAATACTTACTGTAATTCTGTGAGGCCAAGAGGAATTTCTTCTCCCTTTTGTTTTTCCCTCCTCTACGCTTTACTCCCTGACATCCACTGAGCTCATGTGCCCTATACAATATACATGGTGTTTATTTGAAGTTCTTACATAGTTCATCACATCTCAGTGTGCAACAAACTGTTGATATCTTCTCTGTGAGATTAATCATTGTGGTTAACAGGACAGTAAACAGAAGACACAGCTGCCCCTCCTAACCCCAACCACACCTGCCTCCGACTCATTTCTTAGGGCCACATTCCTTCCTGACCTCCAGTTACTTTACATAAAAATGATGCCAGCGAGTTGCACACAGTGTGGTGCACGAGAGGTATGGGATCAGAACTCAGTATCAGATACTCTTATAGTTGACGTATCATTATTGGGAGAGAAAAAGTTGGACCAATACATCCCTATTGATAACTTCAAATCCTGCCTTTACATATTGTGGCTGCATACTCATACTGTACGGTGTAATACATGCTGTCAAAGATGTCTGGCAGTATTTTCTTTATAATGTATGAGATTTATTAGCTTTCATATATTTCAGGCTCTAGTATTATTGTGTACCAAAGTTTTACAGAAGCAAGTTCATTCCAAATAACTATGAATTAGTTGGAGACCTACATACTCTATGTTCAATGGGATTTCAGCTTTGTGTCATAAAACATGGTAGACTCGCTTTAAGCTACACACACAGACACAGACACACACACACACACACACACACGTAACCTTGAAACATCATCCAAGGCCTTTTACATAAACACTTGTGCTCTAGACGCTATGGTGAAGTGCGTTAGATGACGTCCCTGCTGCCCTCACGCAGCCGCTGAACACCTACCATCTGCAGTGAAAGAAAATTTGTTGCTATTGCTCAATCTTCAGTTCATTTACTGTTAGAAAAAGTTTCAAGGCTCAGCCCTGGAGAGAGAGAGAAAAATGAAGCAGCATTGAATTTCCTCCCTTGATAAATCCACCCATGTGCTGCTTTATAACTGAATACACGGTGATACATAAGACAACACAAAAGTATACATTACAACCTCTCAGAGTTGTATACCTACTTAATAGATGTATTGACTTTTTCAAAACCACAGGAAGAATAAAAGCTGAATCAAGGGTTTTCTCAGCATATACAGTGACTGAGTGGCACAGCGGCCGAGAAAATGTTACACAACTATGTGCGTGAATATTGGCGGATCATTTCGTGTAAAGCCCCAAAAGTTCCCAGTGTACCGTGTTACACAAGGAACTGTTTATATCACAATGACATTTTGCTCACTCTGTAAGTCCTTTAATCTTTCAGAGATTTTCTGTTTATCACTTTTATTAATTATTGGAAAAACATCTGGAGCAAAAAAACCAGTCGCATTAGTGGATTTTTGTGTTCTGTCACGATGTTTTATACTTTATAATCTTCAACAACTTTGTCCAAATTAGACAAAAATCTGAAAATACAAAGCAGAGTGCATATTAGGAGACTGAGCACTCGCGCACCACAGTTGTTTGAAATGCTGCTGAAGATGTTAAAATGTGAATGTTAGATATAATTCACGCAGAGAGATACGCATCAACTGCAATAACAGTTTGCTTCCTTCTTAGTAGAGGTGCGTATTAAAGTCTTAAACTACGGGTGAAAGGACGTACTCCGTGTCCACAAGATCTGAATGTCCTTATATTGTCAAATGATTGGAGAGTGTAGTGAGGGAAAGCTCTTTGTATTTTATTCAAACTAAAAAAAGGTATTGAAATGCCATGAAAACAGTCCAGATGGGACTGAACTGGGGCCTTGTTAGGGTTTTTTTGTGATTAAAAACAGAACAGCTTTATTGTGCCGTGCAGCAGAGAACTGCTTTGAGAGCACGCTCCAGGCTGTTCGAGTTAACTAATGTGTCTACAGCTGCTGATTTTTAGTGGCTGTGATCTGTCTGTGTGCACTAAGTTGCTTTTGTCTTGCTTTGCAGCTTAAACCCTGGAGAGAGCTTTGTTTAAAAAGGGCCAAAAAAAAAAAAAAAAATGATCTCAGTGCAGACAACATGTCTGACAGGGAAGAGGTTGAGGGATGTGAGTTTTTGACACATCCGCATGTCACTTTGATTCAGGGGCATCGTAGCCGGACATATTGTGCGTTGAACTGTAGAGTACTCTGCAGCCTCTTCCTTCGACTCTCTCTTATGTGTATCATCGTTCATAAAGGACACAGATATTATCCCTAACTTGCAGACTCAACAACCAGCTGAGAGTTATTCCACTGCCAGAGCAGCAGATGTGACCTATACAGAAACTCAAAAGCTCCACACAGCAGGAATTACAGCACTACCATCTCTCCTTCCTGTCAGCAGCTTGTAACCACCTACTGCCAAAGCCAAGGTTTTTTTTTTTTTTTGCTCTCGACGGGTCCAACAAAAAGGTAAATCTAATCAGTTTCAACAAGCACCATTTTACTGCACCCTGTTCCTGTTTTACTGTCCGCGGGATGAAGGCGTTACTGATCCGAGTCTGACCCCAGAAACCTTGACACGGGTTTTATGTCATAAGGCAGCTCATATGCTCTCCAGTATTTAAGATTCTTAAAAACAAACTCTAACATACAGGTCAGCACAGTCGTATAACTATTGTGGATGAATATGGTTTACTGAAGAAGGCACCTTGAGACACAGTAGACAAAATGTTTAAACTAGTTTTCTGTCCAAGTGTTTTTGAAAAGGGACCAAGGGCTATGCTATTTATTTCCTGCACTTACATACATTAAATAAACAATTTCTTGTGAAATCGGTTATTGTGGTTTTTTGAATAATGGTTGTTGGTGTTGTTAATGCACTAACTCTACTTAAAATCATGTTTACTTTCCTTTAAATATTCCTGACACTTTATGATAGATAATGATAGATATTTGCATATTTACAAGAAAGAGCTTTCTTGACTATCTTATCTTTGATGTTCAATATAGTGTACTTTACGGGAGAATATTAACTGTAAATAAAAAATATTAACAGACAAACGGTTTTGATTGAGAATTGAGTATTTTTGCAGCCCTCAGTAGTGTCTGCAGGTGTTCCTGTCAGGCTGCATACAGCACCATCGGACTTTGCCAATGAGGTGATGGAGATATATCCGAACCGATATGCAATTCAGGACATAAATGTACCACTGGCTGCACCGCTCCTCTCCTGCTCCTTAAGAGACTCTGGTAAGGAAATCAACCTGGAGCAATAAAAGTGAGGGGGACAAAATGAGAAGAAATGATTGGATCTCTAAAAGAGGAGCATCATGTAAAAAAAAAAAAAAATTCATATTCATTAAATGGCATTTTACCACATTGTGACTGAAATTTCTTCATTCGGACCCAACAGGGTGAAAAGGCAAAGAAACATTTTGGAGAGCAGATTGCGCTTTGATTATAATAATCATGCTTTCACAACTAAAACAGAGAAGCATTAAAATGATTCAGTCTGCTGCGGAGTTACTTCACTATCAACACAAAAGTGAGGTTTCTCACAGTAGTACCTCACTTCCTCTATTCATGTGGGTATCCTCATTGACCTAACGCATTCCCACGCAACCACCCACAACTTTAACCGCATGATACAACGCAAATCGAACCTACTGTAAAAACAAGTCTTAACCCTCAAACAATCCCTTTGAATGAGTGAGGATCATCATCAGTGGCACATCAATGTCCTGACTGTCAAGTTCTGAAGCTCAAATTGGTCCACACAATGATAGAAGTACAAACACACACGCACGCACGCACGCACGCTAGCACGCACGCACGCACAAGCCACCGTAAGTGTCTTTGTTGTCTGAATTTAGGGCAGCATCATTCTCAAACAAGGGGAAGTACTGTATTACATGCTCTGTGAATGGCAGCCTTCCCGCCTCTCGGCACACACCGCAGCAGTCTCCTCTGTGCTCGCCTCTCATGTGGCTCTCTTTTCATTGGCCACTTTGTTACACTGAGGAACATAAATTAACCTGACCTGATAGAAAAAAAAGAAAGAAAAAAAGAAACCTTTATCTCACATGTGACCAGCGACA